ACAAAATACTCCAAGATGCTCCAGAACCCAAATACTCCATGTCACCAGAACAATGCAATGTGTTTCTAGGGAGAGATGCAGCCCAAAGCTCGGCATCTGCCCACAATGCCATCAGTGGTAGGGGCAGTCAGGGAGAACAGGGCACAATTGCCACCTGTACCCGCCTTAAGCAATGACAGCATTTACTTTTCTGGGCAGACAGGACAAGGCTTTCCCCTTGGTCCACAGATTAGTGTCAAACTTCTCAACAGCACTGGGACAATGCAGAGATCAGACATAAGCAAGAGGACCTGAGCTGAAGTGGCTTTCCAAACCATAAATGTGACAGGTGAGATCTTCATTGAATGAGTAGCTCTCTAGGTCTCCATGGAAAATCATAGACAGTGTTGTCTTCATTGTTGTCTTGGTAAAACCAAAATACCAGAAAACAGCTGTATATGAAGTCCTTTCACCTCTGAGAAGCCTCTCTAGCTATGAGTCTTCAACATCCCACATCTGCAGCTCACCATGCAAGATAAATGCCAGCCAAGAAAGGAAAAAGACAATTGCGGTAAGAAAACCAGGCATGGAGTCAAGGAACCTAAAGCCACTGTCACACCACTGGACAGGCTCACAGCCAGAGAGGCTTGGCTAACCCGACCAGAAGTCTCTTCTCCCCAATCCACTCTCAAAATGTGAACAGATCCGAAGTCCTCATAGCCTGCTACTGCCCTCAGGATAAAGCCCATGCTCCTTGGCCACAGCACAGAAGGTATTTCTGATCTGACCCCTGTCTGCGCATGTTCTGTGTTCCACGCTTTTTTATGCACTGTTCTTTCTGCCTGAAATATCTGCTTCTCACTTTGTTCATGGCACTCTCTAACTCTTCTTTCCAGATGTAGAATCAATGAACCTTTTCCCAAACTCTCAGGTACAAGAGGAGTCCAACCTCTGGTCACCCCTGGGTATAAAACACCTTGATTGGCCTTTTCTACACCACTTTGTGAGTTCCAGTGTATAGGAATATCTGCCTCCTCTCTAGACAGACCTCATGCCTGTGATCCTGGGGCCCAGGCCAAGGACTGGAACAAAACAATGGGTGCCTCACTGTGATGTGTAGAATTAATGGAAGAATGCTCTGCTGCCTGGCCAAAGGAGTCAGCTGCAAGTGCAAGCAAAGGCAGCCTGGCTGTGGCCAGAGGCCCGTCTCAGGGCCTAGGCCCCAGCTGCAGAGGAGAGCCCCACAACTCTATCCAGTGCTCTAGCCCAAGCCTGCCGTTCTTGAGTAGAGCCACCCATCACATGTCAGAAGCCACCACCGCTGGGATGATGTTACAATCTATTTTGAGGGTCACCCTGGAGCATCTGTCAGCCTGGTCAGCCACACCCTCCATGTGTCATCACTAACTGCTGTGGACACACAAAGGTCCACAAACTCTGACTGAGCAAGTCATTTCCTTGAGGGACCCTCAGCCTGAGGGCCTCCTTGGCTTCCTAACATGATCAACCCAGATGCCCTCATCTCCTGGCACCACTGGCAGGGCTCTGATGTCTCCTCACCCCACCAGATTTGCTTCTGGGGTTCCCAGCTCTGGTGACTCAGCAAAAAGTACCTGAATCCCATCAGTCTGTGCTAGGCTCTTAGTTCAAACACAGTCCCTCCTTCTCCACTCTCTCTTATATTTGGGGAGTGCTCAGAATGCCCAGAAATCTCACATCAAGCTAGTTACCGACCTAACTCATTTTAGGTCTAAAAGTTCTCACCCGCTAGGAAATTCTTACTTGTCCCTCAAGACCATGCCCAGTTTCTGTGTCCTCTTACAGAGAGTCTTTCAGTCCACTCTCTACTGAGTAGGCCACAGGGTCCCTGAGGACAGGGCTGGTCTGTGCTGGCTTTACCTTTGTTCTTCCTGCACCTAGCATGGGCCTGGCACACAGTAGGTCTGATTAAATTTTCTATGAGCCCTTAAAATAAAACCTTTCTAATTTGATGAGCTTAGCGTGCAGTGGATGTTTTCCTACAAAAGATATTGCAGAACAAAGGCCGTTCTGGAAAATAACGACACTGGCAATTGGATCCGTAAATATCTTTTACAAAAGAAGCCCATACTCAAATCAACAGAAAAACACGATTACAGATTCAATGAGATGATAAGTCAATCAAGCCCACTCAGAGCCTGCCACACATGTCTGGCCCCAATGAGCACGAAGCACCTTTCATTTCTGTCCCCTGAGAAACTATGATCCCCTAAGAATCTAAATGGACATCCTATCATTCTACTCAGGGAAGGAATGCAATGAGGAAAGGCAGCAGCAACATGGAGACGCGTGTCTGGGAGCAGGCGAGGACATCTGACAAGTGAAGCTACTCGATTGCACATCCTAAGACCCAAGGCCAGGGAAGATCACCAAACATCCCAGGGGCACAGGGCTCATCCACAGAATAGGTACATCATCTGCCCTACACGCTTTCCAGGACACTGTGAGGATCAACTAGATAATACAAAAAACCTACACCACCAGCCAACACCTGGGGCATGGGCCAAAACCGGGTCGGAAACACACCTCCAACACTGACAGGAAACAGGAAGCAAGCTGATAATTGTTCCGTAACTGCGCTAGGTCTCCTCAAAACCACACCTAGCCCCTGCCAACTACTGGCTGACTACACCCTAGCCACAAGGCTTTCAGGAATTCCATAGAGAGGCCATATTCACATATTTGCACTTAACGGAAGTCAATTGAAGCAGGCTATCAAGGCATACATGACCACCTGTACCTTTTTAAAACTGAGGTTTCCTGACCTGGCCAGTATACTCAGTGGTTAGAGCACAAGCCCTTGCACAGGAGGATCAAGGGTTCGATTCTGGTCAAGGGCATGGCATATACTTGGGTTGCAGGTTCAATCCCCAGCCTAGTAGGGGTCAGGGTGAGTTCAGGAGGCAACCAATCAATGTGTCTCTCACATCAATGTTTCTCTCTTTCCCTTCCTCCCTCCCATCCTGCTCCCTTCCCCTCTAAAAACCAATGGAAAAAAATATCCTCAGGTGAGGATTAACAACAACAAACTGAGGGTTCCAGGTTACAGTTAACACGTAAAAATGCTGAAAACAAAAGCTGAGAAAAGATGCCCAACTTTCTTTAGTTTTGTAGCAACACCTAAGAAAGGCAATCTAACAAGACACAGGGCCTTTCCAGCAAGATCTACTTACAACTGAAATGTTAAAGTTAGATGAAGGACTCTAGGTGTCTATGTTTCAACATTCCCCTTCTGAAATTTTTTTCTCTTTTCTCACTCAGTTACAGAAAAAAAAAAATCCATTTTCCTCCCTACAAGTTTAAAAAATGCTCCTCATTTTTTTGGCAATATAAGACTAGAACACTAATATTTCAATCTATACTGTAACCGTTTTCACAGTGTTTTGTTTTGTTTAAATTCTCACCTAAAGATATTTTCTTCCCTCCCTCCCTCCCTCCCTCCCTCCCTCCCTCTCTCTCTCTCTCTCTCTCTCTCTCTCTCTCTCTCTCTCGTTAATCCTCACCTAAAGATATTTTTCCCATTGATTTTTAGAGAACGGAAGTGAGAGGGAGAAACAGAGAGAAACATCGATGTGAGAGACACACGAGATGGTTGCCTCTCGCACACACACCACCAAGCCTGAAACCCAGCTAGGTGCCCTTGACCAGTTTCGAACCTGGGACTCTTTAGTGCACAGCCGATGCTCTACCCACTGAGCCAAACCGGCTAGGGCTCACAAGTTTGTTTTAAGACACCACTCTCATTCACACTAGTCCAAGCACATTAAATATATGTGCTTTTATCACAGGGTGGGATGAGAAAATAGAAGCTTTAAAGCCCTCCAATAATATGTTTCATATCTATAAAAACACTAAACGAGGATAAAAGTAAAAATACAATAGCTTCTGATGATCAGAATTCAGAATCACAGAACTATAGAGTTAAAAGCATCTAAGTTGCTGGCCTACCTCCCCACAGTGCAGATGAGGAAAGCCCCACATTCCACCCACAATCACACAGCCCTCTCAGGCAGGGATGTTACGACGTCACTGAGGAAGCAAGCAAAGCTCTGACGCTGGCCAGCCTGCCCCCAGTATGCCCCTTTGGCACCACAAGGGGACAGTTCCTAGGAGAGAGAACGTATTCTGAATATTCTCAAAAACACATACTCAGGGTTAGCACAAAGGTCACTGGGGGGTGGGGAGGGGGTTGGCAAACTTCCCACACCAGACCTAAGGTCTGATGAGGAAAGCCTTTTCCAAGACAGTTGCAATCATGTTATTTCATAACTCAGACACCTGCTTTGTCACAGTCACTGGAAAAAAGGGAGACTGGGAGAAGAAAAAGGAAGGAGAAAAATGAACACTCTTCCTTCTGATTCCTTGTGTCTGCTTAGGTCACCATAAAATAGGGAACCTCCCTAATGCTGACGTTAATGAGGGCCTTCCTAAAGCTGGTTCAACTGGTGTTCAAGTCCCTGGACACAAAAACAAGTTTATGAGCAGCATAAGGTCACCTGATTCTGACCATGTGCATACTGTTTACCCTGAGATGACAGGCCAGTCACTGCCACAGTTTTGATGAATGCTGTGGAGACTCTATTACCCCTTTGAAGGCTACTGGGGCCTCTGCATGACTAAATGCCATAAAATGAACCTTGAATGCAGCAAGAGTATGAAAAGGAGGGAGGTCACAAACACCACACTTCATTGGGGGGGGGGGCACACCGACCCATTTTGAGCCTGAATGGTTAATGCAAACTTGTTACTTGTTTCTCTGACCTGTGAGATATCTCATTACAACATCACTAAAGAGAAGTCCCCCCCATAGATCTAGTTGTCATCAAGGGCTGATGCTTAAACCAGGCGATTTGAGAGGCAGCCCAGACCCCTGTGGCTCGAAGGTCCACAACATTCACAAGTGTCAGCCAGGAGACTTCGAGCTCTGACCACAGGGAACAGCTTGATGTTGGGGGGAAAGAAGGTGGTAAGGAGGGGCTTACCCATCTCTTCCTTTGCTGACAATCTTCACCTCAAAGTAATAAATGCCACAGGCAGCAGGGATGGGGTGGGTGGCACGCACGGAGGCTGCATCTTTGTGATTTTTGCCATGACCTAATTAGAGAGGGCAAGGGATAAATTTCAGCACAAGGAAATGCAAATGGGCAGGCACCTCATTCTTCTCTGATCCATGGCAACTTCGCTACTCCATGGCCAGAGGACGCTCTTACACAGTCTAAGGAATAATTAGACCACAACTGAACACACAAACCTCCCACCTTGGGCTCACCTCCTCCCGAGAATAGCAGCCCTGCCTAAGACTGTCTCCCACACAAACCAAAGGAGGGATACAGGCAATGTGGATACCTGAGAGATTTCCCAATGCTGCCTGGAATCTAGACTCTCCAGAACACAGGCAGTCAACCTGGGAGAGCAGGAGAGGAGAGGAGGAGGCAGCCCTGGAAGGGGCATCCCTCCCGAAACTTTGGCACAGAACCCCAGGACCAGTCTGGGGGTCTGGCTGATGAGCAAGCCCATGGGCCTCTGGCTATCGGAGAGGACGTGACTACCCCTCTACCCCTCTCTCCAGACACTGCTGAACCTAAGCAGTGGGAAAGAAGGGCCCAGCTGGAGTTGGAGCTATCCCAGGACAAGCGGGAAGGCCCTCGGGTGGAAGGTCCAACCGAGCCCTGGGTCTGGTCACACCTGTTGCAGTTCTCTTGACATCGGGTGTTTCAGGGGAGAGCAGACCAGGCACTCGAGCCTCGGCCTGGTCAGCCCCACCACGCTGGGCACTTGCAGGGACTAAGGCCTAACTCGGAGCACAAGGGCCGGAGAAGGGACGTGATGGGATAAGGGCTGGGCAGCACAGCCACCGGGCAGACGCTCCGGCCTTTTCCTCCCTCGGCCCAACAGGCTAGTACCTTTGTAGTGGACGCGGAGGTTACCCTGGGAGAGGCCGATGTAGTTGTACTTGTCCTTGGGGCTCCAGGAGCGCGGCAGCGGCGTCTCGTGCTGGTTGACCGCGGGGTACAGGCGCTGCAGGCGCCGGCTCAGCTCCTGCTCCCCTGGGGACGGCAGCCCGCCCCCTGCGCCCCCGCCGGAGGAGTCTCCAGCCTGAGGGCTCCCAGCTCCCCGGTCCGCCGTCGCCGCCGCCATCTTGGAGGGAGCTGCTATTGTGTCACTGGAGGCGGGGAGGAGCGGGACCAGATCCGCACCGCTCAGCCAATGACCCGCAAGTCTACCGGAGCCGCAGGGAAACCGAGTCCGAGTCCGGCACTTCTCTTTCAACACGGCCACGCCTCGCCACATTTCGAACTCGATCTCCCACAATGCAGAGCGCTACAGAGGCAGACTAACTCTGGCTGGCAAGGAACTTTGGGAAATGTAGTACAGACTTGTTCAGCCATAAGCCCGTTCGGCCGAAACTTCGGGACATTGAAAACTACAATTCCCGCTTGCAACGCGGCTCTGGCCTCTCGGTTCAGCTCCCGCCTCCAGGGTCTAATGTTTATCCCCGATGCTCGGGTCTGGTAGCTAGAGAGTCAAATAAGCTGTCGTGATTGATTCTGAGGGGGTCCCACTCCAGGCTCCGAGGCCACTTTTGCTAGTTGGCCTCCCAGCCGCGGGCAAAGAGACGCGAGGGCATGGCCCAGCACTGACCGCGCTCGCGCCGCTCTACTGCTGGAACCTGGTCGCCATGGCGACGGGTTGTACACTACCATAGATTCCCAGGCCGCGGGTTCTAGCTGCCCAGTTGTTGGAGAGTGATGGCCTCCTCTAAGCCGCAGAGATCCAGCTTCGCGAGCACGTCGAGGTAGGCGCTGGCCGGGTTGAGGGCAGAGATGAAGGTTTGAGTACAGGAAAGGAAATGGTACCTGATCCGAACCTCAACACTTCCTGCCTCTGTCCATTGGTCTAGGGCTCCAGCTCCACGGGATAAGTGATGCAAAAACAGAATCCAATGCCTTGTCAGCCCAGTGAGGACATTACTTGCTAGCAAAAGGACAGACGCACTCATCATTAGTAACAGCCAGCCTGTTTGTACTGAGTGTATATTATGTGACAAGTGAGTTATATACTACATTTAACCCTCACAACTCTAAGAGGCAGTAATACTAGTATAACCATTTTATAAATGAAGAAATAGCCGAAACCGGTTTGGCTCAGTGGATAGAGCGTCGGCCTGAAAGGTCCTAGGTTCAATTCTGGTCAAGGGCATCTACCTTGGTTGCGGGCGCACCCCCCGGTGGAGGTGTGTGTGCAGGAGGCAGCTGATCCATGTGTCTCTCTCATCGATGTTCTGGCTCTCTATCTCTCTCCCTTCCTCTCTGTAAAAAAAAAAAAAAAAAAAAAAAAAAATCAATAAAATATTTTTTTTAAATGAATCTACAAGAACCAGACAGTAGGTTTCAGTGTTGTTACCCAGCCAGAAATGATTTTGAAAACTGCAGCCATGTTTGAAAAGGTCATGAAGTAGACTCAGAAAGAGAGTCTAGTTCCTTTTATTTTTTTTTAAATATATTTTATTGATTTTTCACAGAGAGGAAGAGAGAGGGATAGAGAGTTAGAAACATCAATGAGAGAGAATCATCGATCAGCTGCCTCTTGCACACCCCCTACTGGGGATGTGCCCACAACCAAGGTACATGCCCTTGACCAGAATCGAACCCGGGACCTTTCAGTCCGCAGGCTGATGCTCTATCCACTGAGCCAAACCGGTCCCGGCTCTAGTTCCTTTTAAGGAAGCATAATGTAACAGCTGAGGCTGAATTTGGTGGCAGTTCAAAGCATCATTCCTTCCTGTCCTGGTTCTTCATTCACCAATATTTAATGATGTGCATTGAGCCAGGTTCCCTGTTTGCCTTAGAGATACAGTGTAGGGTGTCCTCCTCCAGTTCCTCTTAGAGCAGAGTCAGGGAGATGAAGGATACCCAGACCTTCAGAAGGATAGCATTGCGGACATGTCAGCAGGACCCTCTAAAACAGCGCTCACCAGCCAGTGGTCCGTGGACCATTGGTGGTTTGTGAGATCCGAAAGGTTGGCGACCGCTGCTTTAAAATGGACCTTTGAATTATGCATTCCCCTGGGGACAGTTTCTCCTCTGCATTGGCTTTCCCCTTTCATCCTCACATCCTGGGCATAGTGGCTTGGTAGATGGAACTCAATGCTTAAGTTCACTCAATACCAGGACATTATTACCATCTGACAAACTCACTGCCTGCCTTTAGTTAAGTAACTCTGTTTTATCAACTATCCAAATAGAAATATAGATGTCTGTTTCCAGTTTCACCTGAGAAATGATGTGAAATATTTAATACAATACTAAAGGAGCTTGGGGAGGTGAACATACAATATATAGATGATGTATAATAAAATTGTACCCCTGAAGCCTATATAATTTTATTAACCAATGTCACCCCAATAAATTCAATTAAAATAAAATACTGCCAAAACCAGTTTGGCTCAGTGGATGGAGCGTCGGCCTGCGGACTGAAAGGTCCCAGGTTGGATCCCGGTCAAGGGCGTATGCCTTGGTTGCGGGCACATCCCTGGTGGGGGGGTGTACGGGAGGCAGCTGGTCGATGATTCTCTCTCATTGATGTTTCTCTCTGTCCCTCTCTCTTCCTCTCTGTAAAAAAATCAATAAAATATATTTTTTTTTAAAAAAGAAAATACTAAAAAGCATCCTAAGCTCTTTTTAAAATATATTTTATTGATTTTTTACAGAGAGGAAGAGAGAGGGATAGAGAGTTAGAAACATCGATCAGCTGCTTCTTGCACACCCTCTACTGGAGATGTGCCTGCAACCAAGGTATATGCCCTTGACCGGAATCGAACCTAGGTCCTTTCAGTTTGCAGGCAAATGTTCTATCCACTGAGCCAAACCGGTTTCAGCAGCTTTTTGGATAAGTATATTGTCTTTACCAGAGACAAATTATTATTTGCAAGTCTTTTTTGGACTGTTGTCTCCTTTGACATTCAAAACTAGCATCTGTTACATACTGAGTTTTTCCACTTGGCAACCTCTCAGGATTTGGAGAGTTTCCCATGATTTTCTTGCTTACCTTGCTTTATGTAGGAATTCCAACAGGAACAAGAACAGAGTTTGGAAAATTGATTAGTCTTGACAGAAAGGTATTGATTTAACCTAGTGAGCTGAGGGGTTGATCTGCTGTATCCTGTCTCAAACCCATAAACATCTGGGCAAAATCTTTCCTTTTCTATCCTGCTTACAGAATATGGTTTCCTCACACTTGTTTGGTTTAGAGACAACAGAGGACTGAAGTTTGGGGTGTCACTGCTCCATGAAGGGCAGGGTTTTCCAACTGGGTTCATGTTACTGCTTTCAACTTCTCTGGAGTTTGAATAGTCCTAGTCTCACTTTTATGGGCAAAGACACTGAGTTTCGAAGGTTAAACTACACACCCAAGGCTACCAGCTAGCAAGAGGAATGAAGACGCAAGTCTCTCTGGCAGCATAAATCACCCCCACCGTAGATTGCTGAAAATACTTCTTTCTTTAGTTCCACTTAGATCTGCTGCTCACATGCAGCCTTCCCTGTTGACACCTAAATGCCTTCCTCTCTTGAACAAGGATGGCTCTCCTAAGAGGCCTAGGAGTTAAAAACCTCCTTGGATCTATTTTTCTTCCATCCTGCTGTCAAAAATAACATCTGTACAGCTCCTTGCAGTTTACAGGCTATTTTTACTTATCTCTTTTGCTCTTATTTAAACATCACAGCAATTTTGTGAGATGGAAAAAGCAAGAATTCTCTCCATTTCCTTCTGAAGAAACGAGGCTTAGAGAAGTTAAATGGCTTGCGGGGGGAGACGGGGTGATTGTGTTGGAACCACAGAATTCAGCCCCCAGGTCCTATCAGCCAATAAGTGGAGGATTGAGACTCCAACCTGGCTTTCAGACTCCAGATCCTGTGCTTCTTGCTTATAGCACCTGCCTTTGGCATCAGGCCCCCCCCAAGTGTGCCAGTAGCGTACATTAAACTGTCATCTCAGCCACAGCTGCACACTGAGTGCAAATATAGACCCACAGGGTTCCATGGGTTCATGGAGTATCCTACCACTCAAGAGTTGGTGAGGCTCTGGTGATGAGGTTTCTGACAATGTAGGAAAAACGGTTTGGGCCCAGGACCAAGAGCTTGTTGGCAGCCTGTCTGGGAATCTGGGAAGATCCAGAGCCTGGCTCTGAGGTTGGAGGAGGTCATGTCTTATAGCTCTATCCCCCCTCAGGGCTTTGTCAACGACTGCTTTCTTCCCCTTCTCTCTGCAGAACACACGCTCGGCCTTCAAGAGTGATCATAGACGAGAACGTCATAACAGAAACCTTTAATCCAGAGAAACACAAGCTTTCTCTGAAACGGAAGACACTGGTTAGTGGCGATGCCCTGTTGGATCCCCAGGTCTTATCTTTTCCCTCTTTGCAATCCAAAAACACCATCCACCTGAAACATGCTCCATCAAACAGCTTCTCCCCTTGGGGGATTTTAGCTCACAGAGGCCAGGGCCACCAGGCTCTGGGGTAAGAATATGCACACTTGCCACACCTCATCCCAGACTCCAGCAGAGACTCAGCCCATGCCCATGGACACTCTTCACCTGCAACTCAGCATTCTGGAGCGGACCTCATTTCTTCACCCTGCCTGCCCTGTGCCAGGAACTGTGCCGATCTGCCAAGGTCCTTCAGGGCTGTGACTTTTTGTCTTTATGATCCGTGTGCCTGATAAGGTACATGAGTGGTTGGCATTTGTGCTCCAGAAATGCTCCAAGGAGGTTTATGAAGACAGGAGTAAAAGGATGTCCCTCCATTGCATTGTGGGCTTTGGGTTGGAAGTCGAGACTCTGTAGAAACCTCAGGAAACTTTCTTCCTTCATTCCTGTTCTTTAAAGTTTTTATATAAAAATGAATGCTGTCTTATTAGGTAATTTAGCGCATTTGTTGATATGAGCATAAGATTGTTATTTAACAAGTAAACAGCCATTGTCCAAATCGTACATATTTTTTCTTTATTTTTTTATTATTGTTATTATTATTTTTAATATATTTTATTGATTTTTCACAGAGAGGAAGAGAGAGGGATAGAGTTAGAAACATCGACGAGAGAGAATCATCGAGCAGCTGCCTCTCGCACACCCCCTAC